GTCCGGTGACTCTTCCTCAGAACAGTTCTGAGGAAGGGTCACCGGACCCGAAACGTTAACTCTGTTTTCTCCTCCACAGATGCTGCCAGACCTGCTGAGCTTTTCCAGCAACTTTGTTTTTGTTCCTGATTTACGGCATCTGCAGTTCTTTCGGTTTTTATTTGATGATGTCAGATTTGTATAATGGTTTTCCTGAAACTTCATCCCTGCTGTTGCACACAGCAACTCATTCACTGCAACCAGATTATCAGAAATAATTGATTGCCTAAACAAATAAAAAAAAAGACTGATTTTCAAATCTACAATTGCTTCATGACCAAGTGACAAAGGGGATTGTGGTAGAGAATGTGGTACATACCCTTCACTGACACTATAGCTGACAGGCAAGCTGTGGTAACCTATGGAGGGAGTGCTACTAACGTATGAGACATCAGGCCAAGGAGAGCACTGCAAAGAAGAATGAGGAGCATAGTTCAGTTGGCATCTCTTAAAATCCAGCATTGCATGAATATTCTCTCATCGCGTAAAAGACGACAGCTTTTCCTCTGATGGGTCACGAGCAGAAATCGATCGTTGAACCTGCAACTGCTGCACTATTTTTGTGTATCAAACAAAGCTAAAAGGTTTAGAACTGTAGAGAAGCTAAGAAATGCAAAATGCGTTGCTAGACAATGTAGGAGGGCAATTTGACAAAGATACAAAATAAACGAGTATTGTAAGGGATGCCAGGCTTTACGTGTGCAATCAGAATACAAAAGCAAAGAAAGCACATTGATTGCGTGAAAAATATTGATTCAGCTAAAGTTAAGGATATCATATTGTTCTGGGTGCTGTTTCTTAGAAAAGATATTAAGGCTTGCACTGATAAATGGCAAATCACTTCACACTACCCAAGTGCTAGGCAAAGGCCACCTCAAGTAGACCGAATGTAATTATCTCCCCTACCCATTAAGTGAGAGTACAATTGCTGACTGTCTCACCATCAACAGCTTGGAGGTTACCATTGACCAGAAATGTAACTGGATCAAGCTTGAAAGTTGTCCAGATATTGCTGACGGCTAACAGCAGCAGCTTCACCACCTGAGAGAACTGCAAACTGCAATCATCAGCAAAGTATGACTACTTCTGACTTTATGTTGGAGAGGTGGTCATGGAAGACGGTCGAGTCCAGGATACCACCCTGAGGAACTCCTGCAGAAATGTTCTGAGTCTGAGCTGATTGGCCTCCAACAAACATTGTTACCTTCCTTTGTGTCAGGTGTGACTCCAATCAGTGGAGAGTTTTTTTCTGACTTGAATTTAGCCAGGGCCACTTGATGCCACACTCAATTACATGTTGCCTCACTGTCAGGGGCAGTCACTCTCATTTCACCTTGACATGATTAATAAGGAGCAGATTATTTATGTGGTCAATAAGGTAAAATCTATCGGGCATAAGTTTAATGTTACAACATCATAAGAAACAACAAGGCTAGACCATTGAGATGGCCATTCGATTTCATAAGGTCTGATTGTGGCCTTAACTCCACTTTATGGCTATCACCAAAATTCTTCATCCTCTTCATCGATCAAAAATCTGTCTAAATTAGCCTTGAATATATTCAATGACCTAAGCTCCCCTGCTCTCTGTGGAAAGAATTTCACAGGTTAACAATCCTCTGAGAAAAAGGTGCTCCTTAAATATAACTTGAATGGGAGATCCTTTATCTTTAAAATATGCCCTTGGATTCCCCTGCCTCTCAACATCGAACCCTGCCAAGCCTCCTCAGAATCTTATCTATTGCAATAGATCACCTTTTGTTCTTCTAAACTCCATAACTACAGGCTTAAACAAGCTTTCCTCATGAGCCAAGCCCTGATCTCAGGAATTAGCTAGCGAAACTTCTCTGAATTGCTTCCAATATAAGTACACCCCCTCTTTAAGAAAGAAGTCCAAAATGGTACACCGTATTCTAGCTGTGGGCTTCCCAGTGCCCTGTTCTGTTGAAACTAGACTTCTCTACTTTTACACTCGATTCTCACATTCCAGCAATCCAATTGCCTCCCTAACTAATTGCTATACCTGCAAGCTAATTCACAGACACTCAGATCCCACTGCACTGGAGCACTTACCTCTTTCCATTTATTTAATATTATTTTTTTTCTATTCTTCCTGCCAAAGTGGAGACATTCATAGTTACCCACATTATTCTGCATCTGCAAAATGTTTACCGAGTCACGTATCGTACTCTTTTGCAGATTGTTTGCATCCCCTTTCCAATTTCCTTTCCTACCCAGTTTTGTACCGTCAGCAAATTTAACTCCAATGCAGTCAATTCCTTTATCCATTTGCTTGATCATAAGCTGCAGAGACCCCAGTTATTGATCCCTGTGACACTCCACGAGTTTTAAGACCAAATTTTCCCACTTTTTTTGGGTAAGATTTTAAACAGGCTCTCTCTCTCTCATGGCCCACATCAACTGGTTCACTAATTATGCAACTGGCCACAGGACTGGCAGTCTCTAAGTAAACGCAAAGTGAGTGAGCACTAAGATTGTAGATGCATGAAATGTGTCCATCTCCCTGCATGCAAAATGATCTGGTAAAAGCATGCAAGTCATGTATCCCTGAACTCCAAAGGGAAGTCCTCAAGCACTGAAGTTATGTGTGAGTTGGTCTGAGAGGAAGTACAATGATGCTAGGAGGCTGGTGCAAAAGCAGAAATTACTAGAGAAACTCAGCAGGTCTAGCAGCACCTTGGAGAGAGGTTTTTCAGAACTGAATTAGACCCAAAACATTGACTCTGCCTTCTCTCCACAGATGCTGCCAGAGCCACTGAGGTTCTCCAGCAATTTCTAATTTTCTTTCAGATTTCCAACGTTCATGGTTCTTTGTGTTTTGTTCTATGAGGCTGGTGGCTTGGCGATGTCCAGTCACATGGATGAAAGATCGAAGAGGACCATGGAGCATGCAGAGACGTTGTAATGAATCTTAGAGGGTCACCTGAAGACTCAGAGAAGCAAGAGGCAAGGTGTTACCATCGCGATGACTGTCATGTCCAGAAATGGTGCCATTTAGTCTCTCGGAAAGGAGAGGACAATTGGGAGCTGCGTAGAAATGAGATGAGATTAGCTAAGAATGAGAGGCAAGTGCCTGGAAATAAGGCAATCACTGCTCATTAGCAAGATTCAGAACATGCCACTTGAAAAGTAAGTGGAACAATTGGAAACTTTATTCCTCTCGACATCAGGAATCTGTTTTTTTTAAATTCCCAATTCCCAACTTTCCTACCATTGACCATTTCCCGGAGGGAGCAGAAAATGCTGCCCATTGTAACAAGCAGGGTGGAGAAACAATGTGAAATAACTAATTTGTCAATGACAATGCAAAATAACTAATTTGTCAATCACAATTTTGTTTTCACAAAACCATGTTAATTCTACCTGACTGTATTATGACTTTTTTTAAAATGTCCTTCTACTACTTTCTTAATCATGAATTCTATTTCTGAATGACAGATGTTCAACTAACTGGCCTATAATTTCTCCCTTTCCTTGGAAAAGGTACCTAAACGAATGGAGAGTTTAGCATATTTCTTTAATTTAATTAATTCACTTAATTCACATTAAATTAATAAATGAAATGTGAAACATAGGTGGAAGCAGAAATTTTAAGAGAAATCAGAAAAGTGTAATAAAATTTTAAAAAGAGCATAGGATTCAGTCAATTGATCTTTCAAAGGTCTGATACATATAATAAGCACCTTTTGTATTGTAAATGTGATTCTAAGCATAGTAAGGCTTTCAATTTATTTTGAGCTCATTACAGATAGAGGAAGCTTCAGTATCAGGATATCAGTATTGAGATACAGTGTACATTGTAGTGATTGTAATGAGGTCAGCCAGGCGGACCTCATAGAATATGAGTTCCATGATTGGGACTGTTTATCTGGTCCAATCAGAAAGCCCTGGCTGACAGATAAAAACAGGAGTTTCAGAGATGTGGTTCACTCGGAGAGCTGGCTCTGAGGGAGCTGGATCACTGCCAAGGACTCTTCACGTGTAGATAAACGGTCACTTGGTGATGGCATACCAGCCTCTGTGGAGTTATTTCATACATTGCTTGAAGTTTAAAGCATTTTTCTGGGAATGTGGGAATCTGTTGTCAACAACAACTGTCTAACAAAACACATGCTGCACCTCAGAACAAAGGGAAGCTTCTGGAAGCATTTCAGTGTAATCATCATCTCCCTCGGTTCAGAAACAAAATTACATCATTAATTTCTGAGATAGTAGCACAGAGGTATAGGTTCAGGAAAGAATCAGGTATATTCATGGAGAGAATTAAATCAGAGGACACAAAAAATAAACAGCTTTGTAGTAAAGCTGACACCAAAACTCATCAGAATGCATTCCTGTAAAAGTACAATGCCAACTCTAAACTCAGTCGCAGCATCTCTGCTGCTAACAGCACAGGATCCCTCAAAATGCAATGTTGTTTTATGCAGACTTGTATGCATGGACATAACATTGGTCAAAACAAGCTAGATTTCCATTTACATAATTGCTTTATCCTGTCTTTGAAACATGCCACTGCACTTTACATGAATTATCTCCAAGAAGCTGCTTATGGAGATAAATTGTGCATATTAGTATCCAACAAAACAGCAATGAAACAAATAATCAGTTAATTTTATTTTTGTGGTGCCAAGTTGGCAAGCAATATGGATTGGTCACTGCACATCTTTCTTCAAATAGTAACATGGGAGTTCCAAACGTTCATCTGAATAAGCAGACTCTGTTTAACATTTCATCTGGAGGATGCTGAGACTCTCAGCACTGCACTAGAGCACAAGCAGAGTTCACTTGCTTGTTTCCATGCCAGCCCTGATTTTTCACCTATTCAACTATCATGAACGAAAGATTGTGGACTGCCAAAAGCTGGAGGAAGGCTGAAGTCATTCAAAGAGGCAACAACTGAGCCAAGCTGACACTTGAATCAGTTTATAAAATGTTTTTTTGCACCAGAAAGCACCTCTATGGGTGAGGTGGTTTTGAATAAATTTCACTTCTAAGTGTAAAAGTACAGGAAACAAGTGAAAAGAAAATTGCCTGAATGCAAAGGCAAATTTTGTCATTGAACATGTTAGGGAGATAAAGCATTAAAATGAAATATTTGAAATGAAAACTTTTTATTCATTTTAATTAAAGTATTTCATTGAGAAGCATAAATCCTGCCTCTGCTGGTAGAATCAGTACCAAACCAAATACCATGGATGCTGGAAATGAAAATAAAATGTTAGGTGCACGCAACACATTTGCCAGCATCTGTGGAGAGAAGAAAATAAGAGTTAACATTTCAGATCAATTATCTTAAATTAGAACAAAAGGTCATAGGCCTGAAAAATTAACTCTTCTTCTCTCTCCACAGATCCTTCCTGTGCTACTGAACAAACTTCACTAAACTTCACTTTCTTCCTGAAGAAAAGTATTACAAAACAAATTTAGAATTTCAGGCTAGCAGTGTTTGATGTGGTGTCTATAGCAATAGACATTGCTGCTTAAAGACCATGAAGTGATTACAATATGTACATCCCATTCCCAGTTTGGCAACGAGAGAAAAAAGTCCTTTTCAAGGGATAGGAACCAACATCAAATTATCATTAGGTTATCTCCTATTAGATCCAGAATAGATCTGTCAGGTTAATCAGATATCCCGGCTGAGCATGGGATAAAAAAATCTCAGAAAAAGGAAGGACCAGCCTCAGCATCAATTAGCAACTTATAAAGTTGCACAGTGACTTCAAGATATCTGTGTTTATTGAAGGCAATGCAGTTCAATTTTGCAAGTCTTACGGTGCTGTTATTCTGACCTTTTTTTTTTATTTAAGTGCTTCGGCTATGATGTTGATGGAATGGTTTTTCACATATCACTGCTCTTGTTAATACAAAACTGTGCCAGGAAAACTTTCCACAGCGAAACTTTCCACAGCACGCATTCAATAAACATACCTGCCTTTCTGCCAGCACTAAAAACTGAGGCCACAAAGTATACCAATAATCATCAAATTGTGTCAATAGTGACTTACAGAAGGATAGATGATGGGTTGGCATATTAATTTACACTTGTCCTTGTTTCAATGTAAGAACTTGCAGAATTTAATTCCTACCTCAGTGAGGATTGTTGTGTCGTGTGAATGTTGGTATTTTTCTCTTTCTTTCACTGTTCGCTTTTCTATCTTTTCACGGTCGGTTTTCTGTTTTCGATCTGCTCCCTTTGGCTTAAAGACATGCACCATTACAACCGCATTCAAGAGTTACAGGAATCCAGGAGAGAGTCAAATTTTTTATTTTTTTTTTTCAAACACCCCTAGAACACTGAATAGTTTTATTCGCTTTATCTAAGGAAAGATAAGATTGGATTCGGAGGCAGTCCAGAGAAGGTTCACTAGGCTGATGCCAGGTATGGAGACACTGCCTCACAAGGACAGTACTTACTGGAAAATAGAAGAATGACAGGCAGCCTTATTGAAACACACAAGATCTTAGGGGACTTGACACGGTGAATGTGAACAGATTGTTTCCCCTTGTGGGAGAGACTAGGGCCACAGGCATAATCTCAGAGTAAGGACTGATCAATTTAGGACAGAGAAAAGTTTCCACTCCTCTGAGGGAATCAGTGGAATGCTTCAGTGCAGAAGTCTATAGAGGCTGGGTCATAAGCAGTGATCCCTCTAATTTTATTCAGGTCTGTGCATGGCAGCAGCTGTCAGAAGCACAAACTAAGCATTGGCATGTCAACTGGTATGTGCAAATCTTCGTAGCAACAGCGCAGTTTAAAGGGAACATTGGTCATAAAGTATATTCAAGACTGAGATTGGCATATTTTTAATCAGTAAGGGAATCAAAGGTTACAGGGAAAAGGCTGGGAAGTGGAGTTGAGGATTATCAGATCAGCCATGAGCTCATTGATTGGCAAAACAGACCTGATGGGCTGAATGGCCTACTTCTGCTCCCATGTCCTCTGGCTTTAAGCCAAGCAGACGTGAAAACACACAAGAGCTCTCCATTCAGCTGAACAATAAGGAAAATAAAAGCTGCGCAACCATTTCAGTACATTCCTGAAGCAATACACTGAAAAATATATTCAAGATCCAATTAATACAGTTCCTGTACAAATGAAGGAAGAAGTGAATATGGCAGGATTTGGAGGACCTAACAGGATGCAACAGATTGAATGACCTGTTCAAAATCAAAATCTTCTGATCTTTAAAAAAAAAAAAGATGTATAGCGCTTTTTCAAGATTTGGAAGCAATTATTTCCAAGGGCCTTAATCTGACTGATAGCTCTTGCTCTGAAATTCCTGACATAATTCACCAGCTAATATTGCACTGTTGAGGAAGCAAACACACTGAGGGTCAAAAGACAACAAAAGCCTGAGTGCAATTCCTGTTTCAGCAGAAACAGAATCGAGACCTGCCTGCTCATTCTGGCCCTGAGAGGGAAAGGTGGGGGCAAGCCGCTGCTATAATAAAGAAAAAGCCTGCCAGGAAATGGGCTCAGGATGAAGCATCAGTGGGGAATAATGTGAGGACATGCCTAATGCAGAGTACACATACCATGCTGTACTGAGGCGGACCAGCGTAAACACGATTTCCTACAGCACACAAAAAAAGGAGCAAGGTAGAAATGAAGAGTTGCTTCAAAGCGGAGTCTATTTTCAGCTGATCATCAAACGGGTCTGACAATCACCTTCAATTAACCTCGACACACAGTAAGCAGCTTAACCCATACCTTGAACACTTTGATCTGGCAACTTGCAGAATGCAAGTGTTCGGTATAGTCCCCACTCTCATTTTGTTTAAACGTGTCAATCTGAATGCGGAATGGAACTCCCTTCTCTCCACCATGCTTCCTGGGAGTGAACTCCGTACTGATACAGTGAACCTGAAATAAATGTTTGAAACATTTTAAAAAACATCTCCAGTCTTGTATTGGCAACTTGACATGCTGGATGACCTATTTGGATTTGGGCACCTACTTCCAGTCTCTGATACACTAGCTGGACTCAGAAACAAGTGATGGCAATGAACCCGTAACTTGTGGCCAAGGTTCAGTGTTGACCTCATTGAGAGGGCATGACAATGGACAAAAGTTTTTTTGAATTTCAATAAGGGTTGTGGGTGGCACCAGGTAGGTCAGTTTTTATTGCCCACCCCTCAATGGCCTTGAGAAGGCTTTGGTGAGGTGCCTTCTTGAACCTCAGCAGTTCAAGTGGTATATCCATAATGTTGTTAGGGAGGGAAATCCAGATTTTCGACCCAGCAACAGTAACACATTTCCTAATCAAGGTGGTGTCTAGCCTGCAGGGGAATTTGAAACAGGACAGCCTCTATCCATCACCTGCTCTTTATCCTCTAAAGGTTGTGGAGTTGGAAAACCTGTTGTAGCAGCATTGAGCTGTGCGGTACATCTCTTAAATGGTAAACACTGCTGCCACTATGCATCTGTGTGAAGGAAGTGAACATTTGTGGATGTGGTGCTACTTTATTCTGAATGGTGTCAAGCTTCTTGAGTGCTGTTGGAGTGACACCCATCCAGAAAAGCGGGGAGTATTCCATCATACTCCTGACATCTGCATTGTAGATGGTGGTCAGGTCTTGGGGAGTTAGGTGGTGAGTTACTAGCCTCTGACCAGCTCTATTAGCCAGAATATTTATATTGTTGGTTCAGTTAAGTTTCTGGTCAATGGTAATCCCCAGGATAACAACAGTGGAGGATTCAGCAATGGTAATTCTATTGAATGTCAAGGGAAGGTGGTTATATCATGTCTTGCTGGAGATAGTTATTACCAGGTTCTTGTGTTTGAGTTTGAGCTTGATTTATTGTTGTCACGTGTACTGAGATACAGTAAAAAGTGTTGTTTTGCGTCCTTTATTGGCAGATCGGCAGTTATCAGCAAATGCCTGAACAGACTCCAAGCCTTGCAGCATGAGCAGCTGTACTGAAACTCATGGTTTTAAATAGTGAAAGTGTCAGTTGTGTTCACAGGCTGGCTGAGTGGGACTGTGAATTCAGAACTGTGTCAAAGACACAGGTATTGAATTAATAAAGCTGAAGCTAGATGAAAGGTTACAGCTCCTCCTGTTACCCTATTCTACATTGTATTACAAACTGCAGTATGCTATTGTAGCAGAGATGGTCATTTTACCTGAACAAATACAGAAGTCCTTTTGGTAGGATCCCAAAGAAATTCAATGGTGTTTAGTTGTGTCGGATTTGCTCGAGGATCCACAATACCAACTGACAGAGGTATGTCTGTGAAAAAGTTACATTGTATTTGAAGGTTACTTTCATAGCAGCAGCACACAGTACTGTCTTCTTTGCCAAAGTAGAACAGCTTACACAAAGAGTGTTTCTGTAGAGATTCACCATGTCAAGACCTCAAGACAGCGATAAAAAGTTCCGAGCAAACTGTAATGGTTATTAGCATGCTGTTAAATGGCTGCCTTTTACAGATCACCATTCAAAACCATGCTCAGCATAGGCCCTTGAAATGGCCAAATGTTAGTATTAGTTTTCTCAGTAGTTTATTCAACATAGAAAGAGTTTAGTAAACTAGCAGTAACAACCACACTACACGCTTCACTCCCCACACCACTGTACAGGTTTAAGTCAGCCATTTAGTTTTCAGCCAAAGGAACAGAACAGATTTGCTGACCTATATCTAGAATGCGGTCTCCTGGACGACTCCATCTCCAGCCCTCCAGCTGCTGGTGCTCCGTATACTGCAAGCGGCGATCATGGAAAACCACACGGATAATGCTCTGCAAAACAACCAGCAATTAACTGGTTGTTAACACAACTAGAATTCCACAGCATCACTCCATACTTGGACAGAAAATTGGGAAACACACGATTATCATCCAATAAGTAACAATACACTGAAGATTACCACTGGCCGACAAGCTAAACCAGACCAAGAGTAGGTCAGAGACTAAGGAGCCTGCATCAAGTAACTCACACTTCCTGTCAGCCCAAAGCCTGTCCTCCATCTACAAGCTCAATTCAGGAATGTGATGGAGTACTCCCCAGTTCCCTGAGTGGGGCACAGTTCCAACAAAACTCAAGAAGGTTAACACCATCCTACTGCAGTTCACCTAACAGCAGAGTGGGAGGGAGATGCCCAGGGAACAAGGGGTGGAAAGGGAGGATGGAGAGATCATGAGGTGAGGAAGCATCCAGCTGGAAGTACCTGTTCTAAAATGGGGGACCGTAACCCCAAGGGTCGCAAGGTCCAAGGGAGGATGGGTTTCTCTAGACATTGCCAGCTCCACTTCAACAGGTTACAGGCAGGTGTTAGGGCAGCAGGAATTATACAGCTCCCCGAACTGGCGGGGGACTGGAATGTTTTGTCCTCTTCACTGTCTGTGCACCTTCTACAATATTCTATCGTGCTAAATCTCTTCAACTCTTATTAGATCTCTTAGTTCGTGGAAAGCATACCGTTTTGAGTTATGAATAAAGAAACAGTGAGAGTTGGAAGTGACTTTCTCTGTACACTTCCTACACACCATCACTTGGGCTATGCTGTTCCGCAGCCAGGGACAGGAGGAGCCAATTTGCTTTAGGACCTCTGACAATGAGGGTACACCTTCACCATCCCTTATCAAAACACCAACAGAATCTGCCCTTTCTAGATACGGAATGAATGCTTTTAATCCTCCAAACTCTTACCTTTATATACTTGTCAACTATTTCCTGGCAATCTCTAGGTTTTCTGTTGTCAAACATACGAATTTCATAAGACTGACCTATAGGAAAAATTAAATGTTGGTACATTCTACACCAAAATTGGAAATGATTTAATTCAAATTACATAATAATTGAAGTTACTTTTTTAAGCTGTACATTTCCCACCTTCCTGTGTTACTCAATTTTAAATGTCAGAAAATTCAATTTTATTGAGTGCAAATAAACAGTTATCACTCATTTGCAACTAGATCTTTAACAAATAAAGCACCAGCCAGATCATTCCAGAACCAATGTGGGTTAGATGTGATTGTGTCAGAACAGATTCTATACTCAATGTTGTCACTTCAGAAGTAGGCAAGTATTTTTAACTCTGGACTATTAATCCAGAGAGAAAGAAAACAAAGAACTATAAACAACTTTTCTTTTAACTCCTCTCACTTTCTCCAAGTCAGAGGGGTGGCCATGTGTACCTGCATGGACCCTGTTATGCCTGTCTCTTTGTGAGGAATGTGGAATATTCCTTGTTCCAGTCCTTTTTCTTTTCTTTATTCATTAACAGGATGAGGGTATCTCTGGCTAGGCCAGTATTTATTACCCATCCCTAATTGCCGAGAGGGCAGTTAAGAATCAACCACATTGCTGTGGGTCTGGAGTCACATGTAGGCCAGACCAGGTGAGCATGGCAGTTTCCCTCCCTATAGGACATTAGCAAGCCAGATGGGTTTTTCCTGACAACTGGCAATGGAATCATGGTCATCATTAGATTCTTAATTCCAGATATTTATCGAATTCAAATTCCACCATCTGCCATGGCAGGATTCGAACCCGGGTTCGCAGAACATTATCTGGATTAACAGTCCAGTGTTAATACCACGAAGCCATCACCTCCTATTCTGTCCCCACCCACAACTCCCTCTCCAGTACATCAATGACATCATTGGCGTTGTTTCCCTCTCTTGGAAAGAATTGGAAAAGTTAATCTATTTCACTTGCAACTTCTACCCAGCTCTCACCTTCGCCCAGTCCATCTCTGACTGTTCCCTTCCCTTCTTCAACATCTGTTTCCAGTTCTGGGGATAGGCTGGACACCAGTATCAATTATAAGCCAACAGAATCTCACAATTACCTCAACTAGACATCCTCGCCCCCTGCTTCCTGTAAAGACTCTATTCCATTTCCCCAATTGTTCCATGTCATCTGTTCAGATGAGGCCAACTTAGAGAAGGGAGCCTCCAAACTGTCCACCTTCTTCCTCAACCAAGGATTCCCCAACACCGTAGTCAACAGGGCCCTAAGCAGATCTGACCCGTCTCTCACACTTTGGCCCCCACCCCCTCTCTTCCATCCCGCAACAGCGATAGGGTTCCCCTTGTCCCTACCTACCCTCCCACCAGCATCCAAATCCAGAGGATCGTTAACCGCCATTTTCGCCACTTCCAGCGTGATGCCATCACCAGATATATTCTCCTCCCCTCCCTTGTCAGCCTTCCGCAGGGGCTGTTCCCTCCAAGATACCAAAGTCCACTGCTCCTTCACTCCCAAAATCACCACCTCGCCACCATCACCCACACCGCCCCCCCACCCACCACCACCAGCCTCACGGCGCCTTCCCCTGCAATCGCCGAAGGTGTAACACCATGCTCATTTCCTTCCTCCCTCCCCAGTATCCAAGGGCCCAAACACACCTTCCACGTGAAGCAGCACTTCACACAGTTTAGTCTACTGCATTCGCTGCTCACAATGTGGTCTCCTCTACATTGGGGAAAAGAAACATAGACAGGGTAACCGCATCACAGAACATCTACGTTCCGTGTGCAAAAAAGACCCTGAGCTTCTAGTTGCCTGCCACTTCAACACACCACCCTGTTCCCTAGCTAACATCTATGTCTCAGGTTTGCTGCTGTGCTCCAGCAAGGCTCAGCACAAGCTGGAAGAACAGCACCTCATTTCCTGTTTGGGAACTCTATAGCCTTCAGGACTCAGTATCAATTTCAACAATTTTAGGCTTGAGACACCTTCTCCCATGTCCTTACCCCATACACCAGGCCTTGTTATCACATGGTCTGATATTACTCACTAATATTAGCCACTAATATTCCCCATAAGTAGCTATTCATTCTCCCAGGCTGATCGTTATCCACTCCTTTGTCTATCCAACTGTTCTTCTCTCTTTGGGCTCTATCTCCACATACTGTTTACTCCTTATCCCATCCCACCACCCTATCTTATGCATAAAAACTTATATTTTCCTAGCTACCATAAGTTCTGAGGAAATGTCTCTGGACCCAAAACATTAACTCTGCCTTCTCTCCACAGATGCTGCCAGCCCTGATAAGCTTTTTCAGCAATTTCTGTTTTTGTTTCTGATTCCCAGCATCTACAGTTCTAACAGTTTTTTTTTAAATGAGTTAATGTTTCATGTCCAGTGACACTGCTTCAGAACACAAATATGGGGGAGACTATTAAACCACAAGACCCAAGTAATTTTCCTGGGACCCAAGTTCAAATCCCAGCACAGCAGATTTGGTGGAACTTGAATTCAATAAAAGTCTGGAATTAAGAGTCTAATGATGGCCATGAAATCATTGTCAATTGTCTGGGAAAACCCTCCTGGTTCACTAGTGTCCTTTAGGGAAGGAAAATTCCATCCTTACCTAGTCACTTAGACGTGACTCCCACCCCACAGCAATGTGGCTGACACATAACTATCCCCTGAGAATTAGGGATGGGTAATAAATGTTGGCCTAACCAGCAACGTCCAGGTCACATGAATTAATATAAAAATCTTTCAAGTATTCCAATAGACAGACATATTGTTATCCAAAAACTCAACATTTATTCATATGGCCTTCCTAGATTAAGTACAGCTTTATATTACATGTCATTCCCAATATTGGTAGATATTGCTGCACTGGGTCAATGATTATAGAAAAAAAAAAAGAGATAATTTTAACACAAGTTACCAGGATCTTGAAAGCAAAGGTTCTAATACAACTCAACAAATTCACTTCCTTTGTGTACCACCTTTATATCACATTTTCATCTTAGACACGAACTGGTGCTCTCGGAATTGTAAAAACAAAACCCTTTCAAAGTGTTCTCTGTGGTGTTTCAAACACCCAGCTTTTAACCCAGCCAATGTGAAAATTCAATATTTGTTGATTTGGATCTATTTCCAGACAGACTGACCATTTTTCCAAGGCCAGTACACACAGTAAGCTATATAACACTCCAACTGTGGCCCATTGTGTCTAGGGAAGTGCAGGCTAGGTGGATTAGCCATGGGAAATGTAGGGTTACAGGGATAGGGTAGGGGGGCGCGGGTCTGGGTGGGATGCTTTTTGGAGGGTTGGGGTGGACTCAGTGGGCCAAATGGACTGCTCCCACACTGTAGGGATTCTATAATTCTATGAACTGTCAATAAAAATCAGATGCCAGAAATACAATAGCAGTATGCAGTCAACTAAAAACATTTGACATGGATGTTTCAAAGCATAAAAAAATCTATAAGACTAAACTATCAAGGATTCACAGCTTCCCAATCCTCACTTCATCTACATCCCACTCAGAGTCAAAGACACAGAGATGTACAGCACAGAAACAGTCCAACTCGTCCATGCTGACCAGATATCCTAAACTAATCGAGTTCCATTTGCCAGCATTTGGCCCATATCCCTCTAAACCCTTCCCATTCATATACACATCCAGATGCCTTTTAAATGTTGTAATTGTACCAGCCTCCACCACTTCCTCTGGAAGCTCATTCCATACATGCACCATCCTCTGCATGAAAAAGTTGCCCCTTAGGTCTCTTAAATCTTTCCCCTCTCACCATAAACCTATGCCCTCTAATTTTGCCCTCCTTCATGGATAGGAGTAAAGACCTTAGAACATTACAGCGCAGTACAGGCCCTTCAGCCCTCGATGTTGCGCCGACCTGTGAAAACCAATCTGAAGCCCATCTAACCTAAACTATTCCATTATCATCCATATGTTTATCCAATGACCATTTAAATGCCCTTAAAGTGGGCGAGTCTACTATTTTTGCAGGCAGGGCATTCCACGCCCTTACTACTCTCTGAGTAAAGAACCTACCTCTGACATCTGTCCTATATCTATCACCCCTCAATTTAAAGCTATGTCCCCTCGTGCTAGCCATCACCATCCGAGGAAAAAGGCTCCCACTGTCCACCCTATCTAATCCTCTGATCATCTTGTATGTCTCTATCAAGTCACCTCTTAACCTTCTTCTCTCCAACGAAAACAGCCTCAAAACCCTCAGCCTTTCCTCATAAGACCTTCCCTCCATACCAGGCAACATCCTGGTAAATCTCCTCTGCACCCTTTCCAATGCTTCCACATCCTTCCTATAATGCGGTGACCAGAACTGTACGCAATACTCCAAGTGCGGCCGCACCAGAGTTTTGTACAGCTGCAACATGACCTCATGGCTCCGAAACTCAATCCCTCTACCAATAAAACCTAACATACTGTACGCCTTCTTAACAACGCTATCAACCTGGGTGGCAACTTTCAGTGATCTATGCACATGGACACCGAGATCTTTCTGCTCATCCACACTACCAAGAATCTTACCATTAGCCCAGTACTCTGTATTCCTGTTACTCCTTCCAAAGTGAATCACCTCACACTTTTCCGCATTAAACTCCATTTGCCACCTCTCAGCCCAGCTCTGCAGCTTATCTATGTCCCTCTGTAACCTACAACGTCCTTCTGCACTATCCACAACTCCACCGACTTTGGTGTCATCCGCAAATTTACTAACCCATCCTTCTACGCCCTCATCCAAGTCATTTATAAAAATGACAAACAGCAGTGGCCCCAAAACAGATCCTTGAGGTACACCACTAGTAACTGAACTCCAGGATGAACATTTCCCATCAACCACCACCCTCTGTCTTCTCACAGCTAGCCAATTTCTGATCCAAACCGCTAAATCACCCTCAATCCCATGCCTCCGTATTTTCTGCAATAGCCTACCATGGGGAACCTTATCAAACGCTTTACTGAAATCCAAATACACCACATCAACCGCTTTACCCTCATCCACCTGTTTGGTCACCTTCTCGAAGAACTCAATAAGGTTTGTGAGGCACGACCTACCCTTCACAAAACCGTGTTGACTATCCCTAATCAAATTATTCCTTTCTAGATGATTATAAATCCTATCTCTTACAATCCTTTCCAACACTTTACCCACAACCGAAGTAAGGCTCACTGGTCTATAATTACCAGGGTTGTCTCTACTCCCCTTCTTGAACAAGGGGACAACATTTGCTAGTCTCCAGTCTTCTGGCACTATTCCTGAAGACAATGACGACATAAAGATCAAAGCCAAAGGCTCTGCAATCTCCTCTCTAGCTTCCCAGAGAATCCTAGGATAAATCCCATCCGGCCCAGGGGACTTGTCTATTTACCCCAGCTCTGCTCCTCATGATTTTACAAATTTCCTATGAGGTCACTCCTCAGCCTCCAACGCTCCAGGGAAAATAGCCCCAGCCTATTCAGCCTCTCCCTATAGCTCAAAACCTCTAACCATGGTAACATCCTTGTAAATCTTTTCTGAGCCATTTTAAGTTTCACAACATGTTTCCTATAGCAGGGAGACGAGAATTGCATGCCGTATTCCAAAAGTGGCCTAACCAAGGTACAGCTGCAACACGACCTCCCAACTCCTACACCCAATGCACTGACCAATAAAGGCAAACATACCAAACGCGTTCTTCACTATCCTGTCTGTGACTCCACCTTCAAGAAACCAATGTTTAATCAGTGCAAATCTTGGCAAAATGGTCCAATTAGTGAGAACTAACAAAGAAAAATATGCAATGAATTTGTTGGGAGCACAGGGCTTGGAAGAGATTATCCTTGGTTCTAAATCACACATTCCTACTGCATTCAACATATTCTAGTGAATCTTCTTGAGATAGCTGGATAGGAATGGGGTGAAAACGGAAGGAAAACTGATCAGATTCTCTCTCTATTCAAACTTTGAGGAATAAAACCAAGAACATAGTCACGGAGGGCATCAAGTTAAGCATTTCTGAGAATGATGTGAAAGACAGCTCACTTGTAAACAGAGATTTGAAATAAAGAAGAGGAGAAGATCAACAAAGGCAATTCTTAACGTTGATACCTTGGTTGAGGTAAGTCAGTGTTTCTTCATGGAGCTTGACAGCAGGAGATGTGGCTGCACAGAGCACGTACTGGAATGGAAGTAGTTTAGCACCATTTCCTGGAGACAGATTTGATTCCTCATGTTTAAAAACTGGAAATGTCAGGACATCACTGAAATGGAACAACAGGATTATCAGCTGCAGAAAGCGCCAAAGGTTTCAGGCTGAAGTTTCAAAAGGATAAAGACAGATTTTACCAGGATGAAAATTAGAATCATTCGCATTATAGTATTGCTGAAAAAAAAACATATTTTGTCCAAGATTTTTTTGTCTTGCTCTCATCAGGACAAATTGCAAGAATACTGATTAAGAGGAAAAATAACATTTATACTGCATGAAAGAACAGTGCTGACTGGTTAGCGAGTAGAGTCTGACTGGTGAAGGCAATATCTTGTAGATTTCAGAAGTTAATGATGATTAATTGTTAACTGCCAGTCTGTGTTTATATTTCAAATCAGACAGGTTAACTCTGGTTGGTAGGAGCATTGCCCTTAGAAATGAATCTGTGAATGGCTGACACTATGATTTATGAAGGGGAAATCATGCTTGACAAATCTGTTGGAATTCTATGAAGATGTAACTAGTAAAGTTGACAAGGAGGAGTCAGTTGATGTGGTATATTTGGACTTTCAGAAAGTGTTTGACAAAGTCCTGCATAAAAGGTTATTGTGCAAGATTAAAGTTCATGGCATTGGGAGAAATGTATTGAGATGGATAGAAAACTGGTTGTCAGAGAGGAAACAAAGAGCAGGTCTAGGCCCGAAACGTCAGCCTCTCTGCTCCTATGATGCTGCTTGGCCTGCTGTGTTCATCCAGCCCTGCACCTTGTTGTCTTGGCAGGAATTAATGGGCCCCTTTCAAATTGGGAGGCAGTAACTAGTGGAGTGCCAAAGGGATTAGTGCTGGGACCCCAGCTATTCATAACATATAGTAATGATTTGGATGAGGGAACAAAATGTAACATCTTCAAGTTTGCAGATGATACCAAGTTGGGTGGGAGGATGAACTGTGATGAGGATGTAGAGATCCTTCAGCATGATCTGGACAGGTTGGGTGGTGGGTAAATCAATGGCAGATGCAGTATAATTTGGATTAACAAGAAGGCAGATTACTACCTGAATGGCTGTAAATTGGGAGAGGGAAGTGTGCAGCGGGACGTGTGCACCAGTCGCTGAAGGTAAACATGCAGGTGCAGCAGGTGGTAAAGAAGGCAAATGGTATGTTGGCCTTCATTGCAAGAGGTTTTGAGTACAGGAGCCGGGATGTGTTGTTGAAGTTATACAGGTCCTTGCTGAGGCCACATCTAGAATATTCCTTGCGGTTTTGGTCTCCTTTTCCGAGGATGGATGCTCTTGCGCTCAAGGGAGTGCAGCGAAGGTTTACCAGGCTGATTCTGGGGCTGGCAGGTCTGACGCATGAGGAGAGTTCGACCAGGTTGGGATTGTTTTCGCTGGAGTTCAGATGAATGAGGGGGGGATCTCAGAGACTTATAACAGAAATAGACAGAGTAGATGCAGGGAGAATGTTCCCAATGGTGGGTGTGTCCAGAACCAGGGGTCACAGTATGAGGATTCAGGGTAGGCCATTTAGGACAGAGATGAGGAGACATTTCTTCACCCGAAGAGTGGTAAGCCTGTGGAATTCATTATCACAGGAAGTGGCTGATGCCAAAACATTAAATGTATTCAAGACGCGGATAGATATAGCATTTGGGGTGAATGGAATCAAATGTTATGGGGTGAAAGCAGGATTAGGCTACTGAACTGGACGATTAGCCATGATCGTGAAGAATGGCGGAGCAGGCTTGAAGGGTCAAATGGCCTCCTCCTGCTCCTTGCTTCTATATTTCTATGATTAGCTATTTTATGTTGAGTGTGTGCACATGTTCCTTTGGTCTGCAAAGACCAGGACCCTGTGTATTAATATGTGCAGCTTCCAATACCCATAAATACTCCACGTTGCGAGCCCAGTCAACAATCCTAAATTGGTTTGTTATATGAATTTCAATGTGATGCCAGATATGTAGGGCCTATGACTGGCATTTCAGAACAAAAACCAAAACCCTTTGAATGTTCACAATAAACAAGATAGTGATGACAGCAAATCAACAATTGAAAAACCTACAAAACAAGTGTCCAACATTAGATGTGATTCTACATTTGGATAACATTTGCTGGATAACCCTGAGTATGCCAAAACCAATTTAGCGTCATCAGTTGGGTTTACGGTGCAGTGCACTGGAGGATCACAGCGCGGTGCACTCAAAGTTATGTTTAAGGTCCAACCGGTTACCCACTTCCCTATGTTCCATGCACAACGGGCTTTCCAGGTACAGTACAGGGCATTTTAATAAGGCTATTAATCACTGATAATCTTAATCCCAAATTAACTAGATTTGCTTCATTTACTGTCGGTCATAAAACTGGTCACAAATTAAAAGGAACAAATCTTGGGAAATCTTCAAATTGGTAACACATTATGGGGCATGGCAGATCTCTCCCCAACTCCGGTTATACAATCCAAAGTAAAAGTTCAGTTGACTGGGTAGCTGGTTTGCACTGCAGAATAACCGTGTGGGATCAATTCCTGCACTGGCTGAGGTTACCATGAAGGACTCTCTTCCTCAAGCTCGCCCCTTGCCAGAGGCATGGTGAGGCTCAGGTCAAAACAGCACCAGTCACCTTTCTCTAATGAGACAGCAGCCCTATGATCTGGTAAGACCTTGGCAACTTTACCCTTACTCTACTGCCAAGGATTAAAATATTTTAGTTTGGGAAACCATTCTCAGAATCCAATTTAGATTCAGAGGCTTACTGCGAGAGTGAATTGTTACAGATTGGACTACGTTGTAAATCTCCTGCTGTCCAACTGCAATGCATCCTAATGGTAACTTAACCAGCGGACCCAGCATCAGGCTGTCTCTTCAGAAACCTGTTCTACCTGCCACCCTACTATATTAATCAACCTCAACCCTAAACCTAAAAATGGCTTGTTTTCTGACGTCATAAAGCCAGCCAAAGAAACAGTCTGAGAATGTTTCCATGCTGCAATACCTATTGCTCAGCTTGGCTGTACTAAAGTCAAGGATTGTAAGTGTGATGTTTAACATAAGACTTTTCTTCTCATTGTCCCAGTAATGTTTCTTTATGGCAATTTTAAAAAAAACTCACGAGTAGGCCATTCAGCCCCTTGAGCCGGTTCCACTGTTCAACGAGATCATGGTTGATCTATGGCCCAAACTCCACATACCTGCCTTTGGCCCATATCCATTAATACCACTCCTTGGCATTCCAGAAAGACAAAGTCAAAGTGAGAATGTTGAAGACTGAGCCTGGGTCTTAGAACAAAGACAAATCTGCATGAAATCCAATGATCATTGTGTGCAAGAAAGGCCATTTGATTCATTCTAATTCCATCTGGAAAAACTATCATAACACAGGAAATCAAAATGCAGTCTGACTGCAATGCTATAACATTTGATCGTATTCACATTTTTCTCATCCTAGTCTGTTGCAACTTTTGTTCCCCTATCGTTCCTTTGTTTGCTAACCTACATTGGTTCCTGGTCAAGTAATGCCTCAATTTTAAATCTCATCTCATCTCATCTCATCCGTTGTCTTCAACCCCACTACAGCCCTGCCCTTCACCTCTCTGTAACCACCAGCCCCACTAACCTTTGAGATGTTGGCTTCTTGTGCACCCAGATTTTAACTACCCTATTTTTGGTGATTGTGCTTTCCGTTAACTTCCGTGATTCCCTACAAAATTTTCTCCTTCTCCCTCTACTTTTTTTCCATTAATGCTCCTTAAAGTCTATCTCATTGACAAAGTTGTTTTTGCAAACATCTCCTATTGTATCTAATTTTGTTTGGATAATGCTCCTGGGAAGTACTTTTGTTTCATGCATTGGATAAATGAAAAATAAGTGACAGATTTCACATTTCATGTCATAATGGAACAAGGTTGGCAAATCCATTCTTTCATTACGAAATGGATAATTTTCCTGAAGCTGGGATTGTCAGTCTCGTTCTAATGATAATACATATTTATACCGAAGCTACAAAACTAGATACTGCCATTGCACACACACCATCCTACAATCTCAATATATTCTATGGTTTTGTTGATTTTCAACATCTTGTTACCATCCATCATTTTAGTCACGAGAAGGGATGCAAAAGTCAATTTTTTCATAAAGCCAATAATTCATGCACAACAGATTCAAAAGCAAGGCACCACTTGACCAGGTACAGTTTTGCATTGATGGCACAGATGAGCATGTCTTGTCTACATTGCCTAAGAATTTCTTAATGATTGGCTTGACTCCTTTTGAAATTCTAACTTTTGGATCGTCTGATATTGCGCACAATTTATCTTGTAAGGTTTTGTATTGAGTCCTTATTTTTGCTCCATCGGTTCTCTTTCCTCCCTCACTCATACCATCATTATGAATGCAGGGTCACTATCTGAAACTGCCCTGCCAACTTTAATGATTTATGCACATATACATCCAGCTCCCTCTGCTCTTGCACCCCTTCTACAGTTGTGCCTTTATTTCATTTAGACTCTCCATGTTCTTCTGACCTATATTAATTACTTCCCATTTCCCTGCATTAAATTTCAGCTGCCACTTTTCTGCCCACTCCACCAACCTGTCTGTTTAAAGTTCCACACTGCCCTCTTCACAGTTCACAATAATTCCAAGTTTTCTATCATCTGCAAATTTTTAAACTGTGCCTTGCAACCCAAAGTATATATAAGAATGACTCATATGGCAAGGTGACACAAAATTACTCGAAATGCAATCCATGACTTTCTATATTTTGAATATGCTGTAGTGACAGTATTGCCAAAATGCAGGCTGGTTTATTACAGCAGAACAGTAAAGTGAAGGGGCCGCGAATGAGGTTGGGTGTGAACCCAGATCTGACCTTGCCTGTTTGTGTACTATACGTTCCTTCACCAGTTTCTCTGTTCACACCCTCTCCTCCTGGGGCCCTGACAATAATAGCCTGGGTGGTTGCCAATTATAGGCACATTGCTGTTTATTGATAGTTGTCTAAATACTTCACTGACCCCTCAAAATATCAACAATGAATTCAATATTTTCGTCAGCCTGAAGAAAGGATAGAAGAAAACCCAATTTTAACATTAGTCAGCTCAGAACCTTTGCACAACTCCTCACCAAGCAATGTTTATAAAGCTAATTCCCTTACCACTGGGAGGAAGCAAAATCTTGCCCCAATAAAAAAAACAATAAATTTTCTGCAACTGAACTGCACTATTATCTAACCTCATAGATAAACTATGATTAAGGGGAACAATCCTTTATCAAACTTCTAGTTTTTCCACACAATATAAATTCCTTATTCGATAGTTGAATAATTTAAAAAAATATACACATTGCCCAATGCTTTAAGACCGTTAATGGCTCATGCTGTTTAACTTTGAAAGTCCTAAAGTTGAGGGAAAACACAACTGGAAATGAAGTAAAAACTGAAGTGATCATTTCAAAGGCAAAGGACATCAGAAAATGACTGAATGCAGAAAGCGACCATTCAGCCCATTGTATCTGTGCAAGCTCATTCAAGGTCCAATCCTATTGGTTCCACCCTCCCTGCCCTAGTTCCATTGGCCCTGCAGTTTAGTCTCAGACTATCACAGAGTTTTTAAAAGCCTAGAAAAAGACCATCCAAACCACTGTGTCCTACTGGCCATCAAGTATCTATACATTCCAATTCGATTTTCCAGCTCTTAGCCTGTTTTCCCTGTATGCTGAGGCATTTCAAGTAAGTTTTGAAGGTTCCTCCTTCTACTGCCCTTTAAGGCAGTGAGATCCAGATACCCACCGCCTCCTGGGCAAAAAAAATATATTTTTCTGCAAATCCTTTCTAAATCCCCTTTAAAAAGTGCTAGCTGTTTACTGCACCCTCTCTCTCCCTTGTCTGAGCTCCTCAGAACTTTGTCCATCTCAAATCAGACCCCCTTCAGCCTTCCCTGCTCTAAGGAAGACAACCCCAGTCTATCTGGTCTCTCCGAATCTCTCCAGCCCCGTATCATATCTCAGTGAGTGAATCACAACATTATCAAAAAAAGTCTCTCTTTAAGTATTTGACCTCGAGTCAAAAAGGAAACAAAAAATTGTACCATTCTGCCACTGTCATCGGAACGGTGCAAGTCAGTCGGCGACCCTTTCGGTTTGCCTGGGCATGGATCAGAGACATGACCCAGGCAAGCCCCAAAGGTTGTTTCGCGTGTGTTTGCTTCACATGTTTTCGGACCCTGCCACTCACTTACCGGAGGTAACTGCTTCCCGGCTGTTGTTGTTGGTGATGGGGGAAATGTTCGGGCTGTGAATGCCAAAACAACATAGTGGAGTTGAAGCTGGTCTCCAGGACAGGACCGGGGAACGTATAGAGGGGTGGGGGGGGGGGGGAGGTGAGCCAAGAGGCGAGCACCCTTCCCTGTGACTACAGCCGCAAATCCGCCTCTCCACTCGCTTCCCGAGGCTGTTTTATCGGCGCTAGGAGGCGTCAAGGTCGTGACACACTACCAGAAGGAGCAACACTATCCCCGCCTCTCGCAGCTTCAGATCGCCTCCCAGTATTTCAGGAACCCTCCTAATCTGCACCACCAACCACACTCACCCCACCCTCCTTTCAGATTTTTCCACATTGCATTTCAATTACGTAACAGCGATTTGACACGAGTGCCTGTTTACCAACCCGTCGTACAGGAGCATTATATTCCCAGCAGGGAACAGGATAAAATGTGACAGTTCAGTAGCACACAGACTGGCCCCAGTAATCTCATGGGGCCCAGAGGTGCAGCCACTGTCAAGAGAGGAGTGTGTGACTTGAGGGCCGTTGTGGTCCAGTGTTAGTGTCCCCAGCCCGTGCTTGGTTCAAATACCCACCTGCTCCAGAAGTAACATCTCTGAAACTGTTTGATTAGGCAAAAAGAGGTGAAACACAAAACAAAAACCATCAACGGTTTGAGCTCTTCAGGCACAGTGATGGTGTGGTACAAGTCCTACCTATGCCAGAAGTAACATTTCTGAGCAGCTTGACTGGAGAAATGCACTATTTTTTTTTAAAAAATGTGTAACCGCACAACTGGCAAGGTAGAGATTCTGACAATAAACTTGCATGCTTTTTTGTAACCCACATGTCCATTCAGAGTATTTTAGTTGGAGTTAAGCAGTGTGGATCGTGTTTGAGTTTTAATTATGTGCATTTATCCTCTACTTCGCCACAAAACTTCAGGAGCTTTCTCTCAAACCTTTTTTGTTTTGGCTAGAATTTTGGAGGTGTCACTCCAAATTCACCTATTAATTCAGGCACATGAGTTCACACACAGGAAATAGACTGCGGACTTACAATTGGTTATTCATATCAGTTGATCTTACAAAGTAGTTAAACCCTGGAAAAAACTGGAAAAAAAACCGGTTCAGACCAGTACTAATCAGTGTGACCGACAGCTCTAATGGGCTACCAGCAATACAGGTGTGTGGTTCCATGCACGACTCTACAGATACTGAAGCCAGTTTTTGTCCACATACAGCCCTTTAACAAAACCTTCCAAACACACTACCATCTAAAAGGTCAAAGGGCTGCAGATGTGCCTGCCCCACAAAGACCAAAACAGTTCACAAAGGCAGCGATAGCAGGAACTGCAGATGCTGGAGAATCTGAGACAACAAGGTGTTGAGCTGGATGAACACAGCAGGCCAAGCAGCATCATAGGAGCAGGAAGGCTGATGTTTCGGGCCTAGACCCTTCATCAGAAATGGGGGAGGGGAAGGGGGATCTGAAATAAATAGGGAGAGAGAGGGAGAAGATGGGATAGAGGAGAAGACAGGTGGAGAGGAGACAGACTGGTCAAAGAGGCGGGGATGGAGCCAGTAAAGGTGAGTGTAGGTGGGGAGGTAGGGAGGGGATAGGTCAGTCCAGGGAGGACGGACAGGTCAAGGGGGCGGGATGAGGTTAGTAGGTAGGAGATGGGGTGGGGCTTGAGGTGGGAGGAGGGGATAGGTGGGAGGAAGGACAGGTTAGGGAGGCAGGGATGAGCTGGGCTGGTTTTGGGATGTGGTAGGGGGAGAGGTGATTTTGAATCTTGTGAAGTCCACATTGATACCATTGGGCTGCAGGGTTCCCAAGCAGAATATGAGTTGCTGTTCCTGCAACCTTCAGGTAGCATCGTTGTGGCACTGCGGGAGGCCCAAGATGAACATGTCATCTGCGAAATGGGAGTTGAAATGGTTTGCGACTGGGAGGTGCAGTTGTCTAGTGCGAACCGAGCATAGGTGTTCTGCAAAGCGGTCCCCAAGCCTCCGCTTGGTTTCCCCGATGTAGAGGAGGCCACAACTGGAACAGCGGATGCAGTATACCACATTAGCAGATGTGCAGGTGAACATCTGCTTGATGTGGAAAGTCTTCTTGGGGCCTGGGAGGGGGGTGAGGGGGGAGGTGTAGGGGCAGGTGTAGCACTTCCTGCGGTTGCAGGGAAAAGTGCCGGGTGAGGTGGGGCTGGAGGGGAGTGTGGAGCGGACAAGGGAGTCACGGAGAGAGTAGTCCCTCCGGAAAGCAGATAAGGGTGGGGAGGGAAAAATGTCTTTGGTGGTGGGATCGGATTACAGATGGCAGAAGTGTCGGAGGATGATGCGTTGGATCCGGAGGTTGGTGGGGTGGTACGTGAGGATAAGGGGGATTCTGTTTTGGTTGTTATTGCGGGGAGGGGGTGTGAGGGATGAGTTGCGGGAACCGTCCTCCCTGGACTGACCTATCTCCTTCCTACCTCCCCACCTACACTCACCTTTACTGGCTCCATCCCCGCCTCTTTGACCGGTCTGTCTCCTCTCCACTTATCTTCTCCTCTATCCATCTTCTGTCCTCCTCTCCCTCTCTCCCTATTTAATTCAGATCCCCCTTCCCCTCCCCCATTTCTGAAGAAGGGTCTAGGCCCGAAACGTCAGCCTTCCTGCTCCTCTGATGCTGCTTGGCCTGCTGTGTTCATCCAGCTCTACACCTTGTTATCTCAGTTCACAAAGGCATCCAGCCCAACAAGAACAATTAGGAATGGCACTAAATATCTGCCCTGCCAATGATACCCACATCCCATGAAAGAACTTTTCTTTCAAAAGAATAATACTCGCAATGTCAATAGTTTTACAGACACAAAGGTTATCGTAGAAAATAAAAAAAACTCATGGTGTAGGGTTATAATGGATTGAGATTAGCGTACTGATGTCTTAACCACACTATCAATTTATCTCAAGGTTTGCCTCACTTACAATCTAAATTTAGCTAACACAGACGCAAAATTCCAACTTTGTAATCTATCCATCCCATATTAGGAAAGACTTCATCTCATTCCCTAGGGTAACTCCAAAGCAAAGCTCAGCCCTGGGATTAGCTGGGAAAGTCAGTAAAACATTGGAGTAGAGAAATGCTATGAACTGGTTTGATGTGATTAATTAATGAATAAAGTAATGTATGACTAGGGTGGGGGTCTCTTGTGGTGCAGTGCTCACATCTCTAACTCTAAGCCCCAAGCTCTGGGTTCAAGACCCATCTACTCCAGAGCTCTCCAAACAGAATGATCAGAAAATATTTGTAACTGGAGTAGAAGATTCTTGGTTGCACTAAAAGCTTAATATGGGAAGCTTTGTGTAGTGTAGAGTTTACATTGCCCACAAAAATAGTGTTAATCCAAAGTTGGTTTTGTTACTGTAAAGTTTGTGGTGTGATATTTTCAGTCCGTCCCTGGAAATTCAATTACCTTTTTAAAAGAAAAAACAAAGAACTGCAGAGGCTGGAAATCTGAAACAGAACTTGCTGCAGAAACTCAGCAAGCCTGACAGCATCTGTAAAGAGAAAGCCAAGTTAACATTCTGAACAGCAAACAGTTCCAAAGACTGGACCCAAAAAGTTAACACTGCTTTCTCTCCACAGATGCTGCCAGACCTGCTGAGTTCCACTTGCAATTTCTGTTTTGTATCTTTTAAATTATTGGCCTTGAAGGAGATCATAACAAATCCTTCATGTCTAACCAACAGGAGTCTCAGATTAAAATGGCAACCAAAAGATGACCTCCAACAGTGCAGCACTCCATCAGTACAGCACTAGCATATCATCCTTGATTTTTGTGTTCAAATTGCTTGAAGAGAGCTTGTACTATCAATCTTCCTAATTGTCCTTTCCAATGAAAACCAATTTGTACTAGTAAAAGAGAAACCCTCAAATGTCAAAAGGGCTGCATAACATCTGCATGTTATAAGTCCACATCTTGGTTACACTAAATCCCTTGTATATTACATCCATAATGACAGTGTATAATTATGACAAATAGATCTAAACTTACAGAAAAAATTGCATACATCTGAATGTTTTCAGTACAGCTGAATTGCTTTGCATCACCTGTATCCCGTGCAGTTTTTGGTTTTATTCATATTTTAACAACTACGACAAACTTAATAGTATTACAAATGTGATATAAGGTGTGATCTATGTATATTTTAACGTTATTTATTTTGGACTTTTGAATGAGATGCATTTAGGTTTATTTGTGGCTCTGAAGGAGTTTAATAATTAACTTGTAAGCATGCCTGTAGCTAAGGCATTTCATTTAAGAAGAAAACAGCAAGAGATAGCTTTGGAGGCTAATTGCTGGTTATCCTTTATTAACGGAATATGGGCATCACTGTCTGAGCCAGCATTTATTTCCCATCCCTAATTGCCCACAGGGCAGTTAAAACTCATCTATTTTGTTGGGGGTTTGGAGTCACATAAAGACCAGACCAGGTAAGGATAGCAGATTTCCTTCCAGCAAGGATGTTAGTGAACCAGATGAGTCATTATGGTTACATGGTCATCATTCAGCTAATTTCATATTTTTACTATTTTCAAATTTCACAATCTGCCATGGTGGGATTCAAACCCATGTATCCAGAACACATATTTGTAGTTTATGGATTACCAGTCCAGTGAAATTACTACGATACCATCGCCTCCCCAAGGTTTACACTGGGAGAGTTTATGAGCAACCAAAGTAAACAAGGCAGTGCATCAAGATTTCAGATAAAGGGTTCAGGAGTTTTTGGAGACCTAAAGGAAAAACCTGTAGCTTTTAAAAAAAGATTATTTTTTAGTTTCAGTTCAGGCAGATCCATATGGTTTTTTGCTGAAGCAAGATACGTAAAGTAGTTGCTGCTAAGGAAGGGAGAAGGTAGTTTAGAATTGTTAAAACAGTTTCCCTTAGTGTAAAGTGTTTACTACAAGTTCCAGACCAGAAGTCTTTGGTAAAAAACCCTGAAAGGATTGTTTGAACCTGAGAAAGCCTAAGCTCAGGAACAAAAACAAAGTTGCTGGAAAAGCTCAGCAGGTCTGGCAGCATCTGTGAAGGAGAGAACAGAGTTAACGTTTTGGGTTCTGTGACTCTTCCTCAGAAGTTCTGATTCCTGATTTACAGCATCCACAGTTATTTTGGTTTTTATTAAAGCCTAAGCTCAGTTGTATGAAGGCTCCAGGTAAAGGCTACCATATTCTCAAGACTGACAGTTGAAGCCACAGTTAAATTAGAATCTACAAGGGTGATAGAAAAGGGA